TTACGCGTACCAGTACAGCTATGTGATGCCTCAAGCCATCCGAGACAAAGTGGACGAATACATGAACTGTGAGGACATCGCCATGAACTTCCTGGTCGCTCACATCACCCGCAAACCGCCCGTCAAGGTAACAAGGAGAATTAGCATGATAATAATGATGATAATAATAATAATAATAGAGATAATAATAATAATGAAAATAAAAATAGTAATAGTAAATCTAAGAATATTACCCCCCTTCTTATGGCGTACCTGGTACGTCAGGAAAGTGTGTAATGTTTAGCGCTGTGCCGTGTCGTGTACACCACGGAAGTTGGCAAAAGGTGCCGATCCTGGTTGCCTTTATGACGTTACGTGTACGCCATGCTAATAACCTGGCTCTAATTCTTCTGTACGCAGTTTTAGCAACAATCACTGCCAAGATTCGTATTCAGGAATAAAAGACACGCATATCTGTACCAAAATTGCTAGCAGTTCTTTACTGCTAGGCTTACAAGTGATCGATTAACGTAGATCAAGGCTTGTGGGCGGCTAAGTGCTCTCGTAAAACGTAAACATCGAAATGACCTTAAAAGGGCAAAAAAATTCACTTTTTTCCAAAGATTTGCAGTTTATTGGCAACTATGACTCGCATGGGAGGAACTGGGGGGTGAGAAAAGGGAGAAGACTCGGAGTCCAAAATATGTCACGTGTGTGCTAGATCTAGACTGTTCGTCCACACCACTGAGACGTTAGACGTCCACTACCACTGAGACGTTAGACGTCCACTACCACTGAGACGTTAGACGTCCACTACCACCGAGACATTAGACGTCCACTACCACTGAGACATTACGCGGATACTGTATCCCTCTCAGCCCTGGGTCTGTCTGTTGGGATGTTGTATCCCTCTCAGCCCTGGTCTGTCTGCTGGGATACTGTATCCTTCTCAGCCCGGGTCTGTCTGCTGGGATACTGTATCCCTCTCAGCCCAGGTCTGACTGCTGGGATGTTGTATCCCTCTCAGCCCAGGTCTGTCTGCTGGGATACTGTATCCCTCTCAGCCCGGGTCTGTCTGCTGGGATACTGTATCCCTCTCAGCCCGGGTCTGTCTGCTGGGATACTGTATCCCTCTCAGCCCGGGTCTGTCTGCTGGGATACTGTATCCCTCTCAGCCCTGGTCTGTCTGCTAGGATACTGTATCCCTCTCAGCCCGGGTCTGTCTGCTGGGATACTGTATCCCTCTCAGCCCGGGTCTGTCTGCTGGGATACTGTATCCCTCTCAGCCCGGGTCTGTCTGCTGGGATACTGTATCCCTCCCCACCTCCTAAATGATCTAAATTGTGTTGAGGGGGACGTAAAAAACACTACATTATTTTAAGAACTAAATCCCACACTAACCTCTCCCCTTTGACCCGTTGACCCCCCAGGTGACCTCGCGGTGGACGTTCCGCTGCCCCGGCTGCCCGTCCACTCTCTCCAGCAACTCGAGCCACTTCGAGGAGCGCCACCGCTGCATCAACTTCTTCTCCCAGGTCTACGGCTACATGCCGCTGCTCTACACGCAGTACCGCGTCGACTCGGTGCTCTTCAAAACACGCATCTCCCACGACAAGACCAAGTGTTTCAAGTACATCTAGCTGCCACGTACACCTGGAGGCTACATACACCTGGAGGCTACATACACCTGGAGAATCTATACACACACAATTGTGCTACATACACCTGGAGAATCTATACACACACAATTGTGCTACATACACCTGGAGAATCTATACACTCACAATTGTGCTACATACACCTGGAGAATCTATACACTCACAATTGTGCTACATACACCTGGAGAGTTTATACACTCACAATTGTGCTACATACACCTGGAGAATCTATACACTCACAATTGTGCTACATACACCTGGAGAGTTTATACACTCACAATTGTGCTACATACACCTGGAGGCTACATACACCTGGAGAATCTATACACTCACAATTGTGCCTGGTGCCGGTACAACGACTACTGTTTGTGCTTGTTTCAAGGACATCTAGAACCGTGCTCCTCGCGTGGAAAGTGGGGCTTTTCAATCCTATGGAGGCAAGCGGCCGTTTTGTCGTAGCTGGTGACATGATTACCTCACTGGACGTCTCTGTGAGCAGGCCAGTGTGTGGGCGGAGCTTGTGTTGTGGTGGGTTCTCCTGGACTCCTCTCAGTCACAGAGGGGACCTGTCAGCCGAGCTGTTCTATTCCCTGAGGGGACCTGTCAGCCGGGCTGTTCTATTCCCTGAGGGGACCTGTCAGCCGGGCTGTTCTATTCCCTGAGGGGACCTGTCAGCCGGGCTGTTCTATTCCCTGAGGAGACCTGTCAGCCGGGCTGTTCTATTCACTGAGTGGACTGGCTGTTCTATTCCCTGAGGGGACTGGCTGTTCTATTCCCTGAGGGGACTGGCTGTTCTATTCCCTGAGGGGACTGGCTGTTCTATTCACTGAGTGGACTGGCTGTTCTATTCACTGAGTGGACTGGCCGTTCTATTCACTGAGTGGACTGGCCGTTCTATTCACTGAGTGGACTGGCCGTTCTATTCACTGAGTGGACTGGCTGTTCAATTCACTGAGTGGACTGGCTGTTCTATTTACTGAGTGGACTGGCTGTTCTATTCACTGAGTGGACTGTCTGCCTGGCAGCAGTCGGGATAAAAAGTCAGTCAGCTCGCTGTGGAGAGAGAGAGTGTACGAGAGAGAGAGTGTGCCCGTTTTGTGGAGAGAGAGAGAGAGAGAGAGAGTGTGCACATTTTGTGGAGAGAGAGAGTGTGCACATTTTGTAGAGAGAGTGTGTGCACGTTTTGTAGAGAGAGAAAGAGAGTGTGTGTGCACATTTTGTAGAGAGAGAGAGAGTGTGTGTATGCACGTTTTGTAGAGAGAGAGAGAGAGTGTGTGCATGTTTTGTGAACTGAGGATTTGTGTGTTGCTGATGTATTCAATACCAAGCCGACACCTTCATTGTTATATCTCATGTTGAAATATCTCATCTCCAGGTTGCATATATATATATATATATATATATATATATATATATAGTGTAAACTGCCGTAGGTGCTGCGAGACTTGGGTGCAGTCACTTTCACTTTCATTGTGGTAGAAAGAAAGATGTTCGAGTGAACCAAAATGAACAGAGCACCCACCCCCACCCATACATTTGGGTACAGACAGACATTTGGATACGGACAGACATTTGGGTACAGACAGACAGACATTTGGGTACAGACAGACATTTGGATACAGACAGACATTTGGATACAGACAGACAGACATTTGGGTACAGACAGACATTTGGATACAGACAGACATTTGGGTACAGACAGACATTTGGGTACAGACAGACATTTGGATACAGGCTCCGTCCGCTCTGTCAGACTCACTTTTGGACCACATGAACCGACTGCTGCACTAGAAAATGTATATATCAGTGATTATATATTCTGTGTACCTGATATATATATATATATATATATATATATATATATATATATATATCAGTGATGATATATTCTGTGTACCTGATATATATATATATATATATATCGGTGATGATATATTCTGTGTACCTGATATATATATATATATATATATCAGTGATGATATATTCTGTGTACCATATATCAGTGATGATATACTCTGTGTACCTGATATATATATATATCAGTGATGATATATTCTATGTACCTGATATATATATCAGTGATGATATATTCTGTGTACCTGAGATATTATATATATATATATATCAGTGATCATATATTCTGTGTACCTGATATATATATATCAGTGATGATATATTCTGTGTACCTGATATATACATATATATATATATATATATATATATATATATATATATATATATATATATATATATCAGTGATGATATATTCTGTGTACCTGATATATACATATATATATATATATATATATATATCAGTGATCATATATTTTCTGTGTACCTGATATATATATATATATCAGTGATGATATATTGTGTACCTGATATATATATATATATCAGTGATGATATGCCCTGACCGAGTACCTAATGACTTGACATTTTCTTCACACACAAGCGTTGGGTACGACTCGCACGCCAATCTTGTGTACAACTTACAGCACAGTGCTTTTATTGGAAACTATTTATAGCACAGTGCTTTTATTGGAAACTATTTATAGCACAGTGCTTTTATTTGAAACAATTTATAGCACCTTTTATTTGAATCTTTTTATAGCACAGTGCTTTTATTGGAAACTACAGCTTTTATTTGAATCTATGTATAGCACGTGGCATCGGTAGCCTAGTGGTAAGGCTACCGGACTCGTAATCGTGAGATTGTGGGTTCGCGGGTTCGAGCCTCAGCTCGGTCCGACATTGTGTCCTTGCGAAAGGCACTTTACACAAACTTCCCACTTGGCTCGGTCCTATCGGAGACGGACGTTAAACTCGGAGGTCCCGCCTCTTAAATAACCTGATTGTGTTGATTGGGGCGTTAAACCCATACCATTTCACCATTTTTTCACAGTGCTTTTATTTGAAACTAGAGCATGGTGCTTTTATTTGAATCTGTTTATAGCACAGTGCTTTTATTTGAAACTGTTTATAGCACAGTGCTTTTATTTGAAACTGTTTATAGCCCGGTGCTTTTATTTGAAACTGTTTATAGCACGGTGCTTTTATTTGAAACTGTTTATAGCACTGTGCTTTTATTTGAAACTGTTTATAGCACAGTGCTTTTATTTGAAACTATTTATAGCATGGTGCTTTTATTTGAAACTGTTTATAGCACAGTGCTTTTATTTGAAACTATTTATAGCACAGTGCTTTTATTTGAAACTATTTATAGCACAGTGCTTTTAAACTATTTCTAACACAGTGCTTTTAAACTGTAGCACAGAGCAATATAAACTTTTTGTAGCGCTATGCTTTTGAACTGTTTCTAGCTCTGTGCTTGTGCATAATTTCTACAATTTCTAGCACAGGTACCAGATGACCGGTGGGTTAGGTCGACTTCAGCGACAGGGCAAAACCTGGCCATATTGGTCCGGTCACGGGGTTGTGGCATGTCAACACTAGCTGCTTGCTCGTCTGTGTATATATATACATGTGTGTAGAATATACGTATAACAGAATATTGTCACATATTGTGTGTGGGCCGGTTTGTACCTTGTACATATCTGTGTGGATATGTATGTGGTACATATCTGTGTGGATATGTATGTGTGTGGGCCGGTTTGTACCTTGTACATATCTGTGTGGATATGTAAGTGTGTGGGACGGTTTGTACCTTGTACATATCTGTGTGGATATGTATGTGTGTGGGACGGTTTGTACCTTGTACATATGTGTGGATATTTGTATATGTGTGTAGGTATGTGTGTATGTTTGTATATGTGTGTATGTTTGTATATGTGTGTCGGTATGTGTGTATGTTTGTATATGTGTGTGGGTATGTGTGTATGTTTGTATATGTGTGTTGGTATGTGTGTATGTTTGTTTATGTGTGTGGGTATGTGTGTATGTTTGTATATGTGTGTGGGTATGTGTGTATGTTTGTATATGTGTGTGGATATGTGTGTATGTTTGTATATGTGTGTCGGTATGTGTGTATGTTTGTATATGTGTGTGGGTATGTGTGTATGTTT